TGTTATAGCTGCTGAGAGCAATTTAACTGTGCACAGAACCATGGAGATCCACTGTTTTCAGATGAAAAGTTTGCTCACTGTGAAATATAATATGGCTCATGTACATGTTAAAAAATGCAATACACTCTTCAGGAAAGAGTAGGGGATTGACTCCAAGTGTAGGCCTACTCCCCAATCGCCACTAAAAAGACCCTGAAGGTAAAGTTGGTGGGGGGGGGGGGCTCTATGATTAAGTTAGGAGTGATGTCAAACTAATGATTACAGTACAAACTATAATGTTCATTTCAGCAATTTGCATATAAAAAAAAACAATACCGTATTATTTGAATTAACATCCTGGGGACCTTTATTGTTGAAAAGGATTAAGTGGTGTTTCAAGCAGTGGCGTAACGCCTATGTGCCCTTGTGGGGCGGTCCGCAGGGCCCCGACCCATAGGGGAACCGAAGGGGCTTACCCATTTTCAGTGGCGTATCTAGAAGTCTTGAATTGGGGGGGGGGGGCTGATGGGGTGCGCGTAGGTGAAGTGGGAGGGGTGCTCGATGATCAGTTGAGGGGCACTAATTCGCAAAATATGGTGAATTTAGATGATTTTTAACTACTTGACCGTGATTTTTGGGTGGGGGGGGGGAGACTCGAGGGTACGAGTAATTTTGGAATAATGGAAGTGCTTCTGCCTCATGTCTTTCAGATGAAGGGCTGAAATACAAGTTAAAACAGCGCACCGTCTTTCGGATGAAATGTTTAAGCCTTTGGTACTGTGTGCATTTATGGCCCATGTGCATGTTAAAGAACGCACTGTACTTTTCGAAAAAAAAGTAGGGGATTGTCTCCCGGTGTACTACCCAATCACCACCAGAAGGATCCCACTAGAAATAAGTCTTCTAGACTTTTGTGGGCTATTCTTGGTGTTTACACCGAATTAATCCTATCCAATCCTGAAATCCCACTATGGAATTCGCAATTAAGACCCAAAAAGGGCCCAACAGTTGCTCCAGAAATTTGCTGACAAGGTGTCCTACATGTCCGACGGGATCTGAACCAAGGGGCCGACTCAGCCTCAGTCCTGGATTTGCTGACAAGGGGTCCTACATGTCCGACAGGATCTGAACCAAGGGGCCGACTCTGCCTCAGTCCTGGAGTAAAAGGATCCCTCGTAGGGTTTATGGGAGAGGTTTTTGGAGCTTAGTTATTGTGCTTTTTTTAGACCACACCATTAGAGATAGGCAATTACCATAACATTTAGATAGACAAATAATATTTTTTAATCCGACGACATCGTTAGTCATGCCGTCAGATGAGAGGGGGAAATTCCTGTCCTACGGGGCCCCCCTCCACTAGCACCACCACTGGAAGGGCCCCAGTCTCAGAAAGCTAAGGACCCCGACCCCTTTGTTACACCACTGTATTCAAAAGAGACATTTTATTTTTGTTTGTGAAATGGATATGATAGGACTATGCTATATCTCCTTAATTTCGCTGTAAATGTGGAACTACAATGAACGAAATGGTCGTGTGATCATAAAAACTTGTTAATCCCAACCCAGGTATGTAATAGGAAAAATGTCATTCTACTGGAGTAGAAAATTAATACTGTAATACAATGTGTTGAGAATGGTGTTGCTTCTATTAGAATTGTTTACAGTAATTTAGGAAGGGGGTAGGGGTAGTTATTTGGAGAAAAATAAACGCCTCGTGAAATTTATCAAAGTGGTGCGGTTTTTTAAATCGCGGTGTGAGTACTGTAAATTGATGTTTAATGTAAAATGCGAGTACTGTACTGTATTTAACACTGTCATATTATTTTTAAAAAAAATCAAAGGGGCTCGTCCGGGAATTGAACCCGGGGCCTCTCGCACCCAAAGCGAGAATCATGCCACTAGACCAACGAGCCGTCATTGGGAATGTGGTTACTTAAAATTATACTGTAATATTGTACTGTATGTAGCGCAGTCATTGGGTTTAGTTTTAGGTGTTGTTCTTATACTGTTAGTGTTACGAGCAAAGTGACTCTGGTGTTACTAATTATAACTACATAGGAATCTATTAAGAGATTTAGATTAATCATAGAGAAAGAAAATGAAGGATTTTAATTGGATTTAATTGTTCACAAATTTTAGCGGTGAAGCTGTATTGCCGTGGTGAACGTGGCATGTTGTTGTTATGTGACGTAATGGTAATTCCCCTAAGCCTAAACGCAATGCTGCTGTTCTCTGTCTGGCATGTTCGACGAGAATTTCAATTTCTAATTGTATTATTAACGCATGGAGTAGTTCTAACGCCAGTATTATTGAAACAAGAAAATACATCGCACGCTTCTGCGACTTTATAAAACAATCTCAAGATATGTCAAAGCAGCATTTACAAAAACAAATTAAATAGCCAACCGATACCATGGTATGACACTACACATTGTGTGATTACGCCGATATCGTCAGCTGTGGGTCGTTGGTCTAGTGGCATGATTCTCGCTTAGGGTGCGAGAGGTCCCGGGTTCAATTCCCGGATGACCCCCTTTTTTTTTTTCTTTTTTTTTTAATGATATAATTGTTTGCCTATTAAATGCGTGTTTTTTTGTTTTTGTTTTGTTTTTTTGTTTTTTTTATATTTATCAAGTGTATCTTCTTTTCAATCGTTTTTTAAGTCCGATGTTGCAATCCTAGTTGGCCTATTAGCTGCAGGTAGGCCTACCTGTGACGGTATTGCTGGATTCATATTGAAGACCGGCTTTGTTTTCTTGTACTTTTATCAACAGATGCACTGGCCATGTAAAATAAATAAATTGGTTATCATCCTTATGTTATCAATTTTTATGGTAGGGAGGGAGGTTATGCAATTATCTCTATATAATCACTCACAATTCACTCTAACACAACAGGCATCACAACTGCAAGTGGTCTGGTTGGAGGGGGTGGGGGCGGACGACGAGTGGTAAACAAACCTATATTAAATGTAGTTTGTGAGTGTTTGTTTAAAAAAAAATAGGGTCGGTGGCGTCTCTGATGGTAGGGAGGGGATGCAATTATTTTATTTTACAATACATGCCTTATGTTTATGTTTACTCCGAATAAAGAGAGGGAGGCGATGATTCAACTTTTCGACCTTTATTGGGTCATCTTTATGTATGAGCTAGCTATGTCATTTTAAATAAAAGAAAAAAACTTAAAGATTGGGGTTATCCGGGAATTGAACCCGGGACCTCTCGCACCCTAGGCGAGAATCATGCCACCAGACCAGGGGTGGGGATAAAAATCGGTCAGAGTGCCAAAGTGAATTTTTGATTTAACACCGACGAGGGCCGCACCCAAACTTAGATGTTGCCAGTGTGCTTGCAAAAACCCTCAAGCACCGCTCTTTCACCACTTTATTCTCAGTTTTAATATACTTTTGACATCGTCGGTGTCGGGCCGTAAAAAACAAGGTGTTTTCCTGCCATTGTTGCTTGGCGGGTCGCACACATAGGGTTTTAAATTTATTTTCGCGGGCCGCAAAAAAATCGCTGTCGGGCCCAAGATTAAACTTTTCGACCTTTATTGGGCCATCTTCAGGTATGAGCTAGCTATGCCATTTTAAATTAAAAAAAAAAGATGGGGCATTTGATGGGGCATGCTATCTATGGCATTTTAAATGAAGGAAATAAAAAAGGGGGGTCATCCGGGAATTGAACCCGGGACCTCTCGCACCCTAAGCGAGAATCATGCCACTAGACCAACGACCCACAGATGGTGGAACAGGCGTAATCACACAATTCGTAAAGATGACCCAATAAATAGGGCCTATATTTTTATCAACAGATGCACTGATGTGAATGTTTACTCTAAATAAAGAAAGGGAGGCGATGATTCAACTTTTCGACCGTTAATGGTTCATCGACAGTTTAGGAATGAGCTAGCTATGTAATTTTAAATAAAAGAACAAAAAGGGGGTCATCCGGGAATTGAACCCGGGACCTCTCGCACCCTAAGCGAGAATCATGCCACTAGACCAACGACCCACAGATGGTGAAACCGGCGTAATCACACAATTCGTAAAGATGACCCAATAAATAGGGCCTATATATTTATCAACAGATGCACTAATGTGAATGTTTACTCTAAATAAAGAGAGGGAGGCGATGATTTAACTTTTCGACCCTAAATGGTTCATCGACAGTTTAGGAATGAGCTAGCTATGTAATTTTTAAAAAATGAACAAAAAGGGGGTCATCCGGGAATTGAACCCGGGACCTCTCGCACCCTAAGCGAGAATCATGCCACTAGACCAACGACCCACAGATGGTGGAACAGGCGTAATCTCACAATTCATGAAGATGACCTAATAAATATAATTATTTTTATCAACAGATGCACTGATGTTTATGTTTACGTATACTCCGGATAAAGAAAGGGAGGCGATGATTCAACTTTTCGACCTTTTTATTGGGACATCGTCAGTTCATGAATTAGCTAGATGTTATTTTAAATAAAAGAACAAAAAATGGGGTCATCCGGGAATTGAACCCGGGACCTCTCGCACCCTAAGCGAGAATCATGCCACTAGACCAACGACCCACAGATGATGTGCTATTCACACAATTCGTGAAGATGACGCAATAAAGGTAGAATCACGGCCTCGCTCTCTTTATTCGGAGTAACGTTCGTTCTATCATTATTTTTTTTTCTTTTTACCTTTTCTATTGAAGGCTAATAACCGAAGTTACAGTATTGTATATTAGGCCTATAAGCTCAAGAACAAGACTCAAGGCATTTGCCAATATTTAAATCAATTGAGTGTGATAAGCTTATTATTACAAGGGCGCGGTCTCAGGGCGTAGTTCGAAAGTAATAAATTACAGTTGCTAACGAAGCTAAGTGATTAGGCGTATCCAAAATACAGATAATAATAATAATAATAATAATAATAATAATAATAATAATAATAA